TGTGCCCACAACCCAGGTACATGCCCTTGACCGGAATCGAACCTGGGACCTTTCAGTCCGCAGGCCGACGCTCTATCCACTGAGCCAAACCAGTTAGGGCTCCATTTCCTTCTTAAGGAGGCTTTGACTAGCCTATGCTAAACTAGTTTTCTTCTCTGAATACTCAAATGATAGGGGGCCAGTGCTTATTGTATTTGGTTCAGATAAACAGATAATCTGAATGCAGAACATATGCAATTAATACTAAAAGCCCTGGTAGATTCATAGAATTTTAGATTTGAAAAGGCCATTGATTGCATCTAATTAAGCCTTCTTATTTAACTGATGAGAAGTTTGAGGAACAGAGAGGTTAAGTAATTTGCTTAAGTCACACAGCTAGTGGCCTTGTTACTTCTTATTCTCCAAGTACACTGTTCTTGTCACTGAGCCAAGACCACTTTTTGAAAGACGGTTTAGACCTATAATTCTGTGGTTCAACAACTTTAGAGACAAGAGGAGTCAATTATAGAAGAATTAACTTTACACAAGGTCACAAAGTATATTGTGCAAAACAGGAAATGACCCTTTAAAAGTCCAGCCCTCCCAGCCTTCTTTTCATGTCTTTGGGAAAAGTGCTGCTTTCAAGAATATATATTTTTACCTTCAGTCTTGAAATTACATATATTTTAAGAATCAAAAGGAAATTTGCTTCCTTTTAAAAATAGCCCCTTTTTTTTTGGATTAGGGTACTGTAGTTAGGAAAAGGATTTGCTTTTTAAAATCCTGTTTTTATTTTGCAAAGCTTATAGATCAGTTGTCACTAATAAGATTTGTCTCCCTCCCCCTGCAATTCCATCAAAAGTAAATTTCTGTGAAGTAGTTTGTCATTCTTATATTTAATATATTTTCATCCAGAATTGTTTATTTCCGTAGGCACTGCATAGCTTCTATTAGCTGCTGAGTGCTAACTGTGGCAAATGAAGTAGTTTATTCTGGGAACCTGACTGCATGCTACAAAAAGATTGCATTTTGTTAATATTGGGAGATTCTTGGGTTGTTTCTACCATGTCCTGTGGATTTTACCTTTCAAAAGCATAATGACCTTACTTCCTCCTTTTCTCTTTTACTGTCTTAGACCTTCATCTGCATGTTGTTTTTAGTCTCTGTTTCCATTTGGTCTTGCCCCTGTCTGTCACCTGTCTGGCATGCAGCTGCCAGAGGGCTATTTCTAGAACAAATCTGATCATTTCACTTCTGGAATGAAATCCCACGGTGTCTAGTCCTGTCTGCAGAGTGAAATGCGGGGTCGGGCCCTTGTTTTGGCAAACTGTCCACTCTCATCTGGGTTCCTCCTACCTCCCTACTCTTCCTCAAGTCTTTGTGCAAATATTACTCTCAGGTCTTACCTGGCCACCATCTAAATGATCATAATCCCATGCTCACCTGTCCCTTCTCTCCATCTTTAGTTTTCCCTCCAGCACTTACCACCTTCTAACATACTGTATACTTTATCAATTTTCTGATGTATTGGAGCTTTCTCCAAGTAGGATGTACTTACTTTCCATCAGGGCAGTCTATGGTATTTTGTTTGTATCGAGTGTTCAACTTCCTGCTCTTTCTCTTCAGTTACCTGTCCTTCTCCCCTCCAAGTTCTTGGTGATTCCTGCATAATCCTGTGGACAGCGGTAGAAGGCAGAGTTTTCCTGAGCATGCCGCCCTCTATCTCCTTCTTTGTCCAGGCCACCTTGTTAGCCCCTGGGGTCAGCGGATGTGGTATCCCTGCCTAGTGATGGAGTGATCCGGGAACTCGCCATCACAGTTGGTGTCATTGGGTGGGGTGTGGGTGTTAATGACATCTCAGTGCTCCCTGTGAGCAGTCTCTCAGTGGATGCTTGTGGGTTGTTGGGTATTTGGTTGGATGGCCACTTGCTCATCATCTAGTGGTTTCTCTGCAGAGCGCATTGGCGATGCTCCTCAGGTACCAGGGGCCATAGTGATAAACTGGCGAAATCCCAGCATGGGACTGGGCACTCTCCAGGCGCCTGGCAGCCTCTCCTGCCACTGTGTGCAGCCCCTTGGGGAGGAAATCCCCCAAAGCAGAGCTGTCTATAAATTGTGTGTCTATATCGTAATAGGAATGGTGAAGAAATGCTCTTTGGAGTATGCAGTTCTGTCCATTATCCTGTGGGTTGTTTTAGCAAACTGATGCCTGTGGGGTAAAATTAACCAGCCACAATATTCTAACGCTGGGTTTGCCACTGTCCTCCATTGAAAATAGTTTTAGAACCCATCTGTTCATTAAGTGGGTAGACGGGGGGTTTCAGAAACGAAACTTATCGAATGATTCACTAGTGATATGAGCTAACTTTGAATTATTAAAAACAAACAAACCAAGTTTCTATTTTGGCTTACATCATTCTTTTAATTTTGCCAAAACCTCAAAATATTTTTCAGGGAAGTAATCCAAAGAGCACCCAAATGTGCAGTGTGTGTGGGTGTGTGTGTGTTTTAAAAAGGGCATGGTCGATTTTTGCAGAAAATGTGCAACATGGTGTATTTACTTTTACCTTTTAAAAAAGTTTTAAACACACACACATATATATATATATTAGTGGCCCATGCACGGATTCATGCAATGGAAAGGAAATTAATTAGAAGATTTGTGTGGTAATTACATTACTGCAAAAAATTACATGTCAAAACAGTATATATAATATAGTATTATAAAATTAAAATTCAAAATATTTTAATATTGCTATTCTCCATTTCTTTATAATAGACGTGTCAGAGATGGAAGAAAATTAGTAAAATGTATATGAAAATAATATATACATTGATTTATAAATAAACAATAACAACATGATATAAAAACAACAAAGGCATGATATAAAAATAACAAAAACATGACATAAAAACAACATTGATAAAAACAATGCTTGATAAATTGATTAATAAATAAACAAAACAACATGATATGACAACAACAAAGTGCCAATAGTTGGACTTCAGATACATTCTGGCATTGTGTGTGATTGGTGCCAGCGAGAGCTTTATATGTAGCGCACATGCACTAGTCAATGTTTATTTTTAAATTGCCAGTGCCTGTCATATGTACCGGCTAGTCAGTCAGTCGGACGATCAGACGGACGTATGGTCGATCACTTGGCCTTTTACAGATATAGATATATTTTTATTGTTGACGGTATTGCAGATGTCTCCCATTCCTCCCCACCCCCATCTATCCAGCCCCTCCCCCTCCCCCCCAGGCCTTCACTACACTATTGTCTGTGTCCATGGGCTATGCATATAAGTATATAAGTTCTTTGGTTTTTATCTTCTCATCCCCTGCTCCCACCCTGAAATATGTTAGTCTGTTTCATGCCTCCATGCCTCAGGACTTGTTGGTCAGTTTGTTTTGTTCATTAGGTTCCACAGATAAGTAAGGTCATGTGACACATGTCTTTCTCGGACTGGCTTATTTCACTTAGCATAATTATCTCCAGGTCCTTCCATGCTGTCTCAAAGGGTAGGAGATCCATCTTTTTTATGGCTGCATAGTATTCCACTGTGTGAATGTATTCACACAATATATTCCACAGCTTTTTTATCCATTCATCTACTGATGGGCACTTGGGCTGTTTCTAAATCTTAGCTATTGTAAATAATACTGCTATGAATATAGGAGTGCATATATTCTTTGTGATTGGTGTTCCAAGGTTGTTAGGGTATATTTCCAGAAGTGGGATTACTGGATCAAATGACAGTTTCATTTTTCATTTTTTTGGGAAAACTCCATGTTGTTTTCCATAATAGCTGCACCACCCTGCATTCCCACCAGCAGTGTACAAGGGTTCCCTTTTCTCCACATCCTTGCCAGCACTTGTTTGTTGACTTATTGATGATAGTCAGTTGGACAAGTGTGAGGTGATATCTCATTATAATTTTAATTTGCATTTTTTTGATGATTAGTAACATTGAGCATTTTTTCATATGTCTATTGGCCATTTGTATGTCCTCTTTGGAGAAGTGTCTATGTCCTCAGCCTCCCTCCCCCCCTTTTTTATTGGATTGTATGTCTTCCTTTTGTTGAGTTATATAAGATCTTTGTATATTTTGGAAATTAACCGCTTATCAGGTGTATCAGGCATGGTATTCTTAAAAGATACTTTACCAGTATGTGTGTGACAAAATATCCTGTTTATGTAGCTATCGATGCCCTATTCTTTTCCTTCATCTATTTTTGTCCCTTTGCTGATTTGAACTTTTGTCTACACGTGAAATAAAAGTGAACACTGAGTTAATGAAAGATTAAAAACCCCGCATCTGGCTTTGTCTAACCACCAGAACTGTGAATGGCTGACCCTTAGTAATGACTGCACCTGGGTGTTTTATGGGATGTGACATAAGTGAGTTAGATTATAGGATTCTGTGCGTACCGACCATAATTTCACCTATTTTACTACCAGTCCTGTCAGAACTCCCAGGCAAGTGTGGAATAGTCATACTGTTATAGGAAAATTCTAATTGGTCACAAAGCTCACATGTACAAGCGTTGACACTTTAACTGGCTTTGGTAACCATTGCCTGGGAGACACCAGACCTCTTGTGTGCGTGTGCGTGTGTGCGTGCGTGCATGTGTGTGTGTGTTTGTGTGTGTGTGTGTGTGTGTGTGTGCTGAGGCTGAGGCAGGCTTGGCACTTCATAGCATTGAGTGAGGGAGGAGGAAGCAGTTGGGTGGAGAAGTGTCTTGCCAACATTTCCAGGGTTGACTGGGGGTTGAAATGTAGATTCTGTTTGTTGATGAAAAATGTGCCCATTTTAGTGGTGAGGTGATAAGAACTTGTAGAAAATTGATAGTTTTGCTCAGCTGTGACCTTTGTTGTTGACCTTGTGCAGACGTGTACCCATTAGTCTTGACTCTTGGTACCTTGTATTATTACTCCATTACATCCTGCACATTATAATGAAATAGTAGCAGCTCTGACAGAATGCTATTAGGTTTGGAAAGTTTAAAAATACGTGAATCTGACTCTTTTTTTCTTTGTCAGTTGCCCTTAGGTAATTCTTTCTGCAGGATGAATTAAGAGAAGATCCTTCTTCCTTAGCAATGGAGAGCAGTTTGCCAGCTACCAATATGCCAGACCCCTCATCTTCTCCCTTGGAGAAACATCCCAGCTCAGCCAATGGTAATGGAGATTTTGATTCAGGTAAGATTCTGTTTTCTAAAGCCATCTGGCCTTTGGATGTATTAACAAATGTCTTTCTGAAAATGTTCAGGAAACAGTGGGGCAGGGTTCTCAATCTCACATGTGGTCTGTTCCTAGGCTTTGCTGTCATATTTATAAGCATATAGCAGCTTGAGAGTCAGGCAAAATTTGCTTCAAAATTAATATTAGCTATATACGAGACAGGCAGGCTAGGGTGATAGTGAGGTGCCAAATCACTTCAAAATCTCAATGGCCTAGCAAATAAATGTTCACAATTACTCACAGTCTGTGGTTCAGACAGTCGGTGGTGCTCCGTTGCACGGAGCCTCTGCACAGTGCCTGGCAGTGCCATCTCCTCTGCTGCTTCGGGCTTGGTCCTAACGGGAAGCAGAGCTGCAGGGTCTTGAGCCAGTGATTAAATGCTCTAGCTCAAAGAGACAGGTTTGCTCAGAACCTCTTTTTTAATTTTTATTTTTCAATCACATTTCACATTCAATATTATTTTGTAGTAGTTTCAGGTGTACAGCATATCTGTTCAACATTCATATGCTTTACAAAGTGTTCCCTTCAATATTTTTACCCACCTGGCACCATACATACTTAAGTATCATGGACTGTATTTCCAATGCTATAGTTTATATCCCTGTGACTATTTTATAACTACCACTTTGTAGTTCTTAATCCCTTCACCTTTACACCTGCCCCCCCCCGCCCCCTTACCTCCATGCTCAGAACTTCTTGACAGAACCAGTCTAGGGAGGTGTGGAAATCGAATAATCCGGCACGTGCCCAGAAAGAGAGGACAGCAGGATGTGCCCAAGCACTAGATGCTGCTTTCCAAGACCCTCTCAAAACCTCCAGCACAGCTTTCAGAATAGTGTATAATGTGAAAGAAATTTAGGTGATGTGAATTTGTAGTAAAGAAATCACAAAACAAAAAAAATGAAACCAGCCTTTGGTTGAATTTTGATATTTACCCAATGACTTTGTAAATGCATCTTTTTCTAAATACTGGCATAATAAAGAGTTTATTAATTTTTTTTAAAAGGACTTTAATCCTATATAATAAAGAGGTAATATGCAAATTAACCCTCAGGCCCTCATAAGATGGCTGCCTAAGACCAGGCTGGCAGTGGGGTTAGTGAGGGACAACCAAACAACTGAACAAGCAGGCTGTGTGGGACGACAAAGCCGTCAGGGAGAATTAGTGAGGTACGACCAAACGACTAAACAGCAGGCTGTGTGGAGTGACCATGCCGCCAGGGAGGGGGCCATGAGGGGTGACCAGGCCAGCAGAGGGAGGCAGTTGGGGGCGACTAGGCTAGCAGGAGGGGCAGTAAGAGGTGACCAGGCCAGCTGCCGGGGGGAGGGCAGTTAGGGGCAACCAGGCCTGTGGGGAGGGAGTGCAGTTGGGGGTGACCAGGACTGCGGGGTGGCAGTTAGGGGTGACCAGGCCAGCAGGGGGATGTGCAGCTGGGGGCAATTAGGCCAGCAGAGGAGGGTAGTTTAGGGCAACCAGACCAGCAGGGGGGCAGTAAGGAATGACCATGCCAGTATGCAGAGGCAATGAGGGGTGATCAGGCTGACAGAGAGGGGCAGTTAGGGTCAACCAGGCAGGCAGGCAGGTGAACAATTAGGAGCCAGCAGTCCAGGCTTGTGAGAGGGATGTCCGACTGCCGGTTTAGGCCCAAGGGGTCCTGGATTGGAGAGGGTGCAGGCTGGGCTGAGGCTTCCCCACCCCATGCACAAATTTCGTGCACTGAGCCTCTGGTATTACATAACAGCAAATTAGATAAGGACAACTTAGCTCTCAGAATCATAGACAATGCTATGGTGAATTCATGGGCAAAAATGTTGATCATTAATTCAGTGGGAGATTTGACCATTGCCCCAAGAAGGTATGAAATTTGCTTTCACATTTTGGTGAGACCAGTCAATGATGTAATTACAGGCTGTGTGATGTTAATGGGAAGCAGAACAGCAGGGTCTTGAATAAGTGATTAAATGCTCTAGTTCAGAAGAGACAGGTCCCATTGAATCTACTAGATTATGTTTCTCATATTATATCTTTATCTGGAGAAAATCTGGAAACCCCTAAAATAATTGCCTGAAAGATGTTAGTATCTGTTTCAAAATTAGCTCATTCTTCACCTTTCGGTTTCTTTCTACATAAAGCAGGAGCGGGAAAAAGCCTAAAAGCAGAGTCAAATCTTTTTCTCCCAGTGGAAACATGGAAATTCTTTTTCTGAGAGAGCATAGTCCCATAGACTGAATGTTCACCCTAGTTATTCTACTTTTATTTAAGTACAAACATGCCTTTCAAAAAGTCTTTGTTATGCTTGCTGAGTGAGGTTATTTTTCCACTTTAGAGTCCCTGATTTTCACCATATTTTTGTTGTACACACATCTGACACCTATGACTGCATCATTTTTACTGGTATGTTTTCAAAACTGTCTAAACGGCAACTGTGTGTTGACTTTTCATTTTTAGGCACCTGCAGTAGATTCTGAAACTTATTAAAAATACGGTGTCAGGAACATGATTCGTACTGAATTTTCTTGTGGGTGATCCCATTAATGGGGAGGTGTGAGCACCAGAATCCTGTCATTGGCTGGGCTATGCCACACCAAACACCCACTTCTTGGTTAGTTCCTTGCTCTTGTGTGGTGGTGGGGCCTGAATCATCTATGAGGTTAAGATCTTCACTAGAACTAATAGTCCTAAATAGCTCTAAATGATCTTCACATTTTCCAGATATTGGCTCTGACTCCCTTCTTCCCCTCCTAATATGGCGAATCTGACCTTTCTCCTTAAAATTTCCATTTATACTTGTGTGGTGAGGAGACTTTTAGATGGTGCCCAAAAGACAGATTTTCCTAAAGAAGAAACCATTGTTTTTTTTTAAGAGAAAACCAATTTAAAGCAGGATCTAAACCTTTGTAGAGAGCAGAGGCTAACTTTTAGAAACTCGGATCTAGTTTTGAACATTTAGACTCTTAAGAACATACCCAAGTAGAAGCTGTCAAGTAATTTATTTTCCCAAGTAATTTATTTTCCCTTTTCACCTGTTACTACATAAAAATATCTTGCTGTTCGC